ACTCAATCCAAGAACATCACTCAAAGACTCAATTACCCCCTGTATTAGCTCTGACGACGAACAACCGCCGACCTTGTCATGCCGGCGGTGTACGGATGATGCGTTTTAGTGACTTCGTAGTCCTTAAAACGTGTATAAACATTACTGATTTTGCACATGTTCACTCCTTCATGTAACTGTATTGTCCTGACAAAAAATTACCGAAAACACGTGTTTTCCAGCTTGACTTTTCAAGTGTCACATGGAAATATTTGCGGACCTTGGACAAACGATTATTGTAGTTGACCTGGACAGCCCACGGTACGAAATTGCACTCCAAAATGTCGTCTGAGTGAAAGCTTAACTGTGAACATGTTCACTATTTTGAACCTGCATCGTGATACCTATCGCCCCCTTTTGGTAAGAGTGGCATTCATGACCTCGTCTAGGCTTAACGGAGTGCTTGTTGAAGCCTTTGTGATTCAGATTCTGTCTCCTCTAGTGTCACGCGTGGTCCTCTGTCGTGAGCCCCAGTTTCGCCAGACGAACGACGGATAGTTTGTCTGTTATAACCTGGCAAACGGAAATAAAACAACCACGTGTGGCGTGTACGCTGCCCTAAGTGTTGAGTGGCATTTTATTAAGTGGAACAGAACTCTGGCTGCGAAGGTGGATTTCAGCGTTTTTTTGTAAAAGATTCGATGGAAAAACGACTTTGGTGGAACCCAACGACAATAGGATTGGTGGCCATGTAGCATAATATATGTTATCTTTGTATTTCGCAAACTTTAAAAGCATATTATAGATTTCATATCCTACAAAAGAGAACATGTTTTAGTACTGCAGATTTCTGCAGTCTAATGGATGTATAGACTTGCGAGAAATTAGCTTAGCAAAAGGCACTATGACATAGACCAGAAAGGGAAACAAGTTTGCACATAAGGAGAATGCTCCCGCTGTTAATTGAGCGCACGTATGCATGCCGTCATAAATTGCCTTAAAGGCCATATGCAAACGACCGTTGTCTGCTTGAATTCCCAACGGGATTATGCATAATCTGATCACGTTAGAAACTATCGATATTCGCTGATACCAGTATCCTGAAATTTAAGCAACACAACACATTGTATTTTATATTGTGCGGAAGATTCGTTCCAAAATATAAGAAAATGTGTTGATTATACTTACCTGGTTAAGCGGTCTGCGCCCATTAAGCTATTGGACATTTGTAGCCCATGCGTTGTTTAGGAAAGGTCAATGTTTTCTTGGAGACGCGAAAGTATTTTTTCGGAAGAATACCAAGTGTATTATTGACAATGTATACGCAGATTGTTAATAACAGGGAGCAGAATTAAAATGCCTAAAATATATGTGTTTTATACTGTCAAATTGCATTATGCTTACACTGAAAATCCATGAGGGATGAAAGGATTAACAAATAAATAATATTTTTTAAAACTGCATTTAGGAGGCTGCAATATGAAACTGAAGGTTTTACTCAGTGGCATATGTTTAACGAACCGGCACAGGATTCAAAACAATAAGACAAAAAGCAGTTGAAAAACGTAAAGAATAATTCAAGTGCAAAATATGATCGTGGAGGGCGAGGGTGGTTACATAAAAATCACCGGTCATTGATATCACAAGAATTTATTATCTGCAAAATATCTGCAAACCAAATCTTTACCTGTGCGACTCACGGCTGTAAACAGTTAGAACCATCTTATCTTAGCTAAGCTGGATTTACGGAATTCAAACTTCCTCTAGCGCATCTCATCAACGTCAAGTCGTACAGCTCCCTTAAGCATTACAGAAATTCGAGTTTGAATGAGTCAATCCTATTAAATCCTCTTTACTTTGGACAAGAAGTCGTTTTTCAGATCTTTACAACCGTAGTTGACGCAAGATGTCTTGCACAGGAATATTTAGGAGCCACAAAATAAAACCCATACACCGCTCATTGGTCAACACCCAGTGAGTTTGTTCTTATTCTACTTCAGCCATGCAAAACAAATCATAGAATATGATATTCCTAACTACATATGAAATACATTTCACGGAAAACAGATCTCATTGATGAGGGAGTGTGTGTCAAAATTTAATGGTCAACCAAAGGTCCCAATGCTCGGTAGGTCAGCAGAAAATCTGCTACACCTTGGGACAGCCTTAAAAAGCCACACGTCATGCGGATGATTTCGCAACGTTATAGAGAGGGAACCAACTCAATGGTCAGATTACTTAGCACGAACTCACACCCTAACTCATAGTCTGTTATTTTGTGAAATTTACTATTTGTTTATTATTTCACTACTTTTTTCATTTCTGTTGTCCTGCATTAGCGCAGTAATGAATGTTCGGCACAAATCCCCGCAAATGCAATGTTTTCTTTCATTTCGTCAGCCTACTCCTTAGTTTGTTGCTCACCTTCAAAACTCACTTTACCATAAATCTCATTTGGCATGATCCATAGTCTAATGACAGTTAAGTGGGTTCCTTCTCTATACCTTTGTTATTACTCTCCACAGCCAAATTCTCTAACCTGGCAAGCGAAAATCTCATTCTCAGTGGCTGTGGTGTTCCCATAGTTTCATTTTATCCATTTTATTTTATCTCTAACAATCCCAAAGGACTGAATATTAGTTGCATATCTTGATGATAGGGCTGTTCGCCACCCACTTAAAAACAAGACACATATTCGGTCTCTAAAGAATGGACTTAGTCATGTCTAAGTGTGGTTGTAATTAAATAGTATCGCATTGAATAAACACAATTCAGTCCAATGGATTATGTTACTGCGACCCTATTTTGGTCCTCAATCCTTAAATGGCCTTCTGGTATGACGTATCCGCCTTCAGTTACTTTCTTTTTACTTTTACACCATGCTGTTTATTTCCTCTCGAAATTGAGACCCTTTTACGTAAATATGTGAATAGCATTATGATATATAGCGTTTGCGTTCTAAAAATGCGCCTAAACTCTAGGTCTTGTGATTCGTGCATTCCTTCATTCTTCCTGTCATCTTATTGCTGTCTTGCAACTTTTTCCTTTTTGTTTAAGTATATATTTATTTTAAATGTTGCTTGACGAATGCTTGCATCGGTTGCCAAGTGCCCAAGGCTTTATTGTCGATAACATAATGCAACTGCATTGTAAAACGGTTTAGCGAATTGCTGGTCAAATTCTGGATGACATTATTTATCTCGATATTCCTAACTGTTTTCCTTTAATTTTTTTTGCCGTATGCGCTGTTGGTTTCAACATATGCCGTTTATCTGCATTGGAAATTTCTGCATCGCCGACTTGTCACACTATCAAATGTACGAAAAGACAGAACTACTGAAAGTAAGACCACATGTGACCAGGCGAGTGCAATTCCTTTCAGTTTAAGCGTTTGGAGCTAAGTAACCCGACTTTTAGACTTTTCACCGAGGAAGGTAATTTGTACGGAATTATTTACCGTTATATTTTACCGATTGCGGAAATGAAATCTTGAATTAGCAAATACATATCCCACAGCCAATGTATTTTCCTTTCATATTGTGAAAAAAACGTCCAAATATTTTGAATGCCTGAACAGTGTTTATTCGAAACAGAACGCCCCATTGCGTTAAATCACCATTCCAAATATTTCGACTCATCTGAATCTGTGGTTATGGGTTTGGTAGGCGAGAAAACACGCAGGTTACAAAAATATGGTCACTTAAACCGAGTAGATCTTGCGCATATACTTCTCTCATGACCCCTTCTGCACTTTGAACACGATTTTACAGAATCCTATGTGTTAAAGGAAGAGGCATTTGTAGTAGTTTGTGGCCGAATGAAACGGATGGATCGTTTGCTGTGTTCATTTACCAGTATGTTCTGCTTATTTCACTTCAAATTATGGTCGCTAATTTGCCCGAAAGATTGAGACTATGTTTGCGTTTATTTCTTTTCACGTATTTGCTTGAGTAGCCGAAACGACTATTGCCGTTGACTCAAACAGAAAACGTTACGAAATTGCCCTCTAGTAGGTCGCGTGTAGGAAGGCGTATTTGTACAGATTTTGACTAAGTTGAACCTGTATCGTAACATATATCGACTCATATGGTAAAAGTAACATGCATGACCTAGTCTAGACTTTAATGACTGCTTTATGTTGACTATGTGATTCAGTTTCTGTCTCCTTTAATTTCTGTCGTAGTCCGCTGTCTTGTGCCCCAATTTCGCCGGGCGAACGGCAGTTAGTTGGTCTATCAGAACCTATCAATCCGAAATAAAAACATCGCGTGTGGCATATACGTTGCCTTCAGAGTTTGGTGACATTTTATTAATTATAACAAAAAATTGGCTTCGAAGGTGAATTCGAGCGTTTTGTGTAAAAGATTCAATAGACACGCAGTTTTTGTAGTACTCAGTGAGAACGGGTTTGGTGGCCGTGTAGCATTATGCTATACTATCTGTATTTCGCAAAATTAAATGCGTATTATAGATGTCACATCATTCAACTGAAAACACCCTTTAGTAGTTCTGATTAGTGCATTCTGAAGGATGTATTTACTATTGAGTATTCAGTTTTGCAAAAAGCACTGCGACTAAATACATGAAGGGAGACAAGTTTGTACTTGACGAAAATGATTCGAGAATTTAATTGTAGAAAAAAATTGTAAGTGAATTATTGACACTGGAAACACAGATGTTAAATTACCGGGTGCAGAAATATGTTAAAAATATGTATGGTTTATAACCGCAAATTTAATTAAACTTACACTGGCAATCCTTGAGGAATGCAAGCCTTCACAAATAAATTAAAAAATTTCGACCTTGTGTGGGAAGAAAGGAATGAGAAACTAAATGTTATACTTAATGGCATAGATTTAATGGACAGGTACGAAAAATCATAACTAAGGGGCAATGCATCAGTTGAAAAAATGTTATTAAATAAGTCAAGTGGAAAATAAATGAAGTGTAAATTTGGGGCATGCCAATTAAATACAACGGTAAAATTTGAGTTTATGATGTGCAAAATAAATGCAAATAACATGTTTGCCTGGGACGAATCGTGGCTTAAACAGGTATGTTCATCGATTTTAGTACGTACCACAATCTTAATTTGTTCGTCTCCATACATCGCTCACGGAATAACAGTTAATGAGGCTGTTCTAGTTCTACTTCAGCCAGGCAAATGTAAAACAAAGAATACGATATTACTCAACTATATACGAAATGCGTGTCAAGGAAAACGGGTCTCATTGTTGAAAGCCTGGGTGCCAAATGTTTAACTCACACCAACCTAACCATACGCAGACGTGTGATGAAAAATATTATAAAATTTTGGGGCAGCATTAAAAAGCCACATATCATGCGGACAATTTCGATAAAAAACCGGACCAAAAACAAGTGTTGCATAAATGCCCAGAAAAGCAGTCGCTCATTGTTCAATGAAGCGATAATTGATGTTCTTTGGTACAAAGCTCAGTATATGATGATGGCTATAAACAGTGAGAGACTGATATCATAAAACATCGGCGAAAATTCTGGAATGCTGTTCTGATTTGGAAGGTTCACTTAAGTGGAGTTGTTATATTGATTATCATGCAGTTTAGTCCTATAACGTTTCTGACTTAGCATGGTGTCGGCTTTTAAATGCACTTCTTTTTAGCCACCTGCAGTAACCACACTCAGTAAATATAACTACTTACTTAGCATGCCATTTTCCTTTTGATTTCTGATGGCTTTATAAATTAAAATTTTCTTTTTTATAGAAACCATGAATAAAAATATTCTTTCTTTTGTTCATTTGGTAGGAAATCACATTTTCTTCATACTTTATGCCCGAAAAAAGTGTTTATTCAGGTTTTTGAAAAGTTTCTTCATTTCATAATAATTTTCGGACTGCTCTGCCATTACATCAGCGTTTAGCAATTTCAGTCTACAATGTGCATCATTTTCGTGTAAGGAAAATAATATGTTACTCTGTGCCTTTAAGACGAGAGCACATATACTGCATACAATTTTGTAATGGATATGGACTGTTTTGTGCATTCCACAATGTGAATTAGTAAACTGACATGTGCGGTATGCATGCATGGGCACCGCACAGCCTTCAACATCATATAAGAAAATCATTTTTAAACCTAAATAAGCACTTTATTCAGGTAAAAAATATGAATACAATGCGATAGCCTACCAAATTAGAAAAAGAAAGCATATTATTGTGCATGTTTTCTATAAAATGTATTTGACTTTATAAAATCACGGGAAACCAATAGGATAAATGATTGATATATATGTAGTCATTTTTTATTGAGTGTGGCTTCTACAGGTGGCCAAAAAACAAAGTATTTAAAAGCCGAAATTGTTGAGAGTCCGAAATGTTATATGATTATGCTGCAATATAATCAGTATAACCACCTCACTTGAATAATCCATTCTAATCGTAAACGCATTCCAGAATTTTGGCTGATATTTCATGAGATCGGTGACGCAATGTATCTATAAAAAGTCGCTTTAAATAAAACAGTGTAAATGACTTCCGTAAAACAGCCGGCCACCTTTGTGGACGACACATATGAAGCGTCATCTGGTTTCAGTCGTCGGGGCTGAAGTATAGCTGAGGTCAACTTTTGCGCCGGACAACTGATTACAATATCTCCAAAGATGCCGTCTGGTCGTAAGTTAACTTATACTATACGAAATTTATGAAGAAAAATCCGAAATCATGTATCGATTAATGCGGTTTGCAGACTGAAGGTTATCCCGAGTTTTACTACAAAAAGTTGACATCGTCTATTTTGACAAATAGGCATGTCGTATTCGGGCTTATTTTATATTAAGGATAAACGTCAGTCATTGATATGTCTATCCCACCTTATGCCTGTTAGATTAACAGGCATGGGATTGAAACAAATTACGTCAATATATGCAGCTCTCGCTGAAAAAAACAGAGCGGAGTTTTTGTTAAGACTGAGTTATTTAGTATGACAAGTAAATTATTTGGTCTGTTTCGTAAAACGCACAGCAGTAATGCAAAATGCGCCTTTAGAAAGAAAGAATGACTGTGGTGGATTTACCTTGCTGAACATCACTAAGTATAACCACAGGAAACTGGAGCGTTGTAGAATGCTAACTTGTGAATGAACGTATTCATGATCGAAGCAAATCACTACTCAGTAGAAAATGATCATTTGTGAGGTATGCACATTTAAGGTTGAATTGCGATGCCCCTATTAGAAGTAGCATCTACATATCTCACTGTTTGCTTGTTTGTTAAAAATAACTCGAAATGCCTCGTACACATATGAAGAAGGATAATGCAGTCGGTGCCTGCTTGCCTGCGACCTTAATACTTGAAATCTTATATGTCGTCTTTTTTGATTGCAAGATATATTTTTGTTCTTCAGGAGTCAGAGTTGGCCTTACTTATACAGGGCAGCTCTAGTGGTATTTATTGCAAATCATCGACAGCTGCAATGCAGCTGCCTTCAACGTTCGTAAGCTGGAGTCCACCGCAAAAGTAGGTGGACAACTCTCTAGTTAGAAAACGTCTCTCGTTGCATGTGCGCACACAGAGAAGAATTTTCTGCAGTCGTTGTAGACATTTTAAATTGACATCACATGCAGTACCTGTGCTAACTCATGAAATGTCACGAATTAACACAGGTTAACGACTTTAACGCAGGATCGGTAAGCACTACTGCTCCCAAAATCTGATAGCGGAAAATAAACGCTGTTAAGAAAATATTATTTTTTGAGATAAAAATGAATAATTTTCGACAAAAGTCGCATTTTCGAGAAACGCCTATATTACAACCAAGTTAATAAAGGCTACGCATGAGGGCGTATAAAGGAGTAGGGCGCATAAAAGGTCAAAATAATGAAGGACAGAAACAGATGCAAAAAATAGTACTTTTTTGATTGTCCAGTTGAATTAATAACGGCAGAAAGTCTGTCAGACATAGACATGACGAGTTTATCTATGGTGGGGGGTTTACAACTCGTAAGAAAGGTGTGCTATTTATATTGGCTCCCGTGCGTTGTGAAACATTCCTTCCAATGACGTGCCAGCCGTTGACGGCGTTGTAGAATATTCCTGCCCCGAGCGTGCTGGTCGCTGATTGGCCACGACAGGCGCGATAGCCCCCCGCGGAAACTTCTGGAATGTTCGACCAGCCATTGATTGGGCCGCACACTTGAGCAAAGCCACCACGCGCGCTCGGGGCTGTAGTGCGCGCCGGTCGGTCGTTTATCTTTACGCGTGTCTTACGTCCCTGGCTTGGTCACCTGTTTAGCGCCTTAGGCCGTGGCTCTACGCCGCTTTAACTCTCCACAACACCTCCCGCTTTTGAAAGTTGGACCTCGTTCCTCGAATCCAAAACCACTTTCCTTGGTGGTTGTGTTCATCTGCTACTTCTACGAACGACGGGTAATGTTGTCTGACTGTCTACCCTGCGCGCTGACAACGCAAGAATGTCAGACAGCAGGTCGAGTGCCATTTGACTGCCTCTGGTGTGTCTAGTCCTGAGCTGATTTGCATGCCTCTTTATTTTTCCAGCTGCTGTCTCCACCTCAAATAAAATACCTCTGGATTTCCTTACTATATCTTCTATCCAGGTCTCCTCTCCGGTTTTATAGTTGCGAGCAAACACCTCCTCTCCCTAACGAAAGTAATGCTTTGTTGTTTGTGAAACTCGAGCTTCCGGTTGTAGGTACTGTAATCGCGTATCCGGCTGTCGTCCAAAAAACGTTCGGCTGGTGTGTGGCCCCCAAGATCACCATTCGTTCTTCCGTCTTCCTTGCCGTGAAAACAGCAGTAGATGCCGAGACGTCGAAAACTTCTAGCCACTAAGACCATGCATCAACAACTGCTGATAGAAGCGAACAGGCGAGTCCCAGGTAGCAGTTCAGAAGATGAAGATGCGATTACTGGGACAAGAAGTTTATTTGCCTGACGTTTCGGATTCTCACGCGAATCCATCAGCAGAGACATTCGCAGATAGAGGTGAAGGTGGCACCAGGAGTGCAGTATTTATAGCACGTGGCTGTCGTGGGACCGTATGCGCACTGCAATTAACAGTTCTCACAATCGCCGCTGGGGTCGTAATTGATGCGGCGGTGGCTCGGCGGTCCGAGTCCGAGTTGTTAATTGCCGCGATTTCGTCATCCGTGCTCGATGCTGGTGTGACGATTGCTCGGCAAACTGGCTCACTGTCACCGTGATAATTGCTCACCCGCGCCCTCCCTTACGTGACTGATTCTCCTGCCCAGGGAAAATCGCAATACGGAATAGGCCACCGGGAGGTCATTGTGCTTGTTGATGGATTGCGGGCCTGAGAACCATGATTCGAGCAGCTCGCGGCTCACGCGGTTGTCACCCCTTGCGAGGATTTCGGCCTCTTGAAATTTGAAAATATGGCCGGGTCCCGTCGAGTGTGCCGCCAACTGAGAGTTAGCGTCTCCCCGCCTCACTGCTGCTGCGTGCACGGCAAGTCGCGTACGGAGTAATCTCCCAGTTTCTCCGACATAATTGCTTTGTCCGCAACTACACCAGATCCGGTAAACGACTCCAGACGTTTCCTGCCGTAGCAGCGGGTCTTTTGGCCTCATTACTTGGCGCCTAATGGTTGCTTCTGGCCTGTGTGCAACCCCAACTCCAAGTGGAGTGAGAAGACGACTGACGGCTTCCGAGACGTTTTTCACGTACGGAAGAGCCCGCCAAAATTTAGGGCTAGTTGGATTTGGTCTCTGGTGTCCTTTTCGTATGCACTGGTTTGCAAAGTTGCGCGGGTAGCCATTGGCTCTCATTACCCGTCGAAGATATTGTAATTCAGCAACCTTGTCTTCCATTTCACTGCAGTGCGTCTCAACACGCCGGTATAGCGCCCTTACGCAACTGCGTTTGTGACTGATCGGGTGGTTGCTATTGAAGTTCAGTATTTGCGTCGTATTTGTCGCTTTCCTGAACACTTTGGTTTTTAGGCCACCACAATCTTTGCGGCAGACGAGGACATCCAGGAAGGCCAGCTGATTGTTTTCCTCCTCCTCCATCGTAAATTGAATGTCCGGGAAGACGGCGTTGAGTTGTTCTTTGAAAGTCAGCACCTGATCCCGTTCGATGACGACGAAGGTGTCATCCACATCCTGAGCCCAGAATTTCGGTCTGTGGGTTTGGAAAACCAGCGACTCCAGCCGTTGAAGGACCGCCTCGGCTATGATTCCCGAAATCAGCGAACCCATTGGCGTTCCCTTCACCTGCTCGTAGATTGTTCCGTCGAATGTAAAGTACGTCTTGAGACAGAACTTCAGGAGCTGGATGATTTGGGCGTGTCCGAGGCGATTCTCCGTTTCCTCGTACTTCTCGCAGCCACGTGCTATAAATACTGCACTCCTGGTGCCACCTTCACCTCTATCTGCGAATGTCTCTTATGATGGATTCGAGTGAGAATCCGAAACGTCAGGCAAATAAACCTCTTTTCCCAGTAATCGCATCTTCATCTTTTGCATCAACAACTATCAAACACATTCAGTTCAAAAACTGACCCGCGAAGTCCCTATGGACTCTACTCGAAGATCTTCTTACCTCTGGCCATGGCACGGGCGGTAATTTCGGTGGGTTCTTAGCCTCACATCCACACGGTCCGAATCTTCGAACGAAGGATTCCACGTCGTTATAAATTCACGGCCAATATACGTACTTGCGGGCCAGTTGCTTCATGCCGGTCATACCCTGATGTCCGGCATGGACCTCCCGCAAAACTTGTTGCTGATATCTGGTTGGGATCGCTACTTTACCGTCGCACATTATGCAGTCTTCCGTGACATACAACTGTTTCTTTCTGTCCCGTTGATGTTTTATCGATGTGTTTACTGTGTCGTCGCTAGGCCAACCGTTTCAAATAAACTGTTTCGCCTGGCGCAAAAGTGGGTCTGCTGCAGTTGTGGCCCTGATGTGCTCAGCTGTGAGCGGCAACTGCCGGATGACACCTCTAAACTTGCCATCATCTTGCATTAACGTACTGGGGAACACCACGATTAGTACCCAAAAGGAAATGCAGTGATTGATGATCAGTGTGCAGTGTGAATGGTCTGCCATAAATAAACAGGTAATATCTCTGCAAGGCGGAGATAATGGCCAGTACCTCCTTTTTAATCTGGCTATAATTCCGTTCTGCCTTCGTCGGTTACCTGGCGGCATGCAGGATTGGTTGGAATTTCCCATCTGCGTCCTTCTGAATGAGCACTCCGTAATCAGAATTGTCTGCCTGGACAATGGTCTCTTTGTCAGCCTCGAAGTGCGATAGCACAGTTTAATTGCATCCCTTTGTCTTAGTGGCATAAATGCATTTTAACATTCTTGTGACGAAACAAAATCCACATCATTGCAGAGAGGTCGGCTAAGTGGAGGTTTAAAACTGTGCAGCCAAGTGACAAAGGCGCCGTTGTAGATGATCAACCCCACTAACGATTGCAGCTCCTTCGTGCTCTTCGGCACTGTCATGTTCTGGAATGCCTACACCCTCTCTGGGCCAGGTGCACACCCATTCTCTTTGATTATGAACCCGAGGTAGTGATCTCCTTTCGCAAATATTTACATTTCTCCATATTGATCTTAAGGCCGTAGTCGATCAGATTGCCCACAACCTAGTCCTGCCTTTGATTCAGCTCTTACTCTCAGCTACCGACAAACAACATATCGTCCAGATATGCAAAAGTTCCGGGAACATTCGTAAGCATCGTATCCATAATCTGCTGGAATAAACTAGGCGCCGTTTCAACGCCGTTTTTGGACTAGTGTATCTAAAGATACCCTTGTGCGTATTAATCGTCAACAACACCTGCGATTTCTCGTCCACCTCAATTTGCAAGTAAGCTTCGGATAGGCCGATCCTTGCAAAAACTTGCCCTCCATTTAGAGTAGCAAAAATCTGTTCTACGGTTGGCAGCGGGTAATTATATTCTTCTAGTGCGTCGTTCATACCCGTTGAATAATCCTCCCATAATCGGTTTTGTCCGTTGAGTGTCTTCACCGCCACGACTGGAGCAGCCCAAGCTGAATAATTGGTAAGATAGATTATGCACTTTGCTTGTGTCCTTCTAGTGCACCTTATACGGACGACTGTACCGCAAACGGGCCTCGTCGGCGCTGCTTTAGGACTGGCTTTTTCTCCGGCTTCACTTTCAAACTTATCTTCATCTTCGTGCACCTGCCGGCCGCGTTCTCCATGCGTTTCAAATACTTATTCTTCAGGGCCTCCTCAGTAGCGTTGTGCACTGCGCTGCAAATTTTGTCGAAAGGACGGTTGTCAAATGCCAGTTCGGAGATCGTCTTATTTCCGAGAAGACTGTTACGGGTCTTCGACACATAGACATCAGCGAGGCAAGTCATGTTTCGAAAACTGACAGTCGCCTGGATAACGCCTTTTTCATTGATAGCTCTTCTTACTACGTTAGGGACATTCACTCACGTAGTGCCAGCCCCCGCACAGCCAACAATATCCCAGGAGATTTTACTAGTACATCCAAAGTGGAAGGAAACAGGGGTAAAGTCTAACTGATAACCTCGGGAACTTGCTAGTGGAACGGGCATAAAATGGAAAAACACATTCTAAGATTTTTTTTCACACGGTTTCTACTGCGCAGTCTTCTGAAGACAATCAGGATTTAGAAATGGGTCAATACCGTCAGGAGATTAGTACGTACATCTTTGATTTTACGGTCAAATGCCAAGACGGGTCCTCAGTTAAATTAACTTAGAGAAGCATCCTTCCCCTGAAGGAATAATAAGAAATGCATGACACAAAATAAAAGACTGCAAATATCTGAAAATTGACAATATCAAAAGACAAATTTGTTTATTTTTGATCGCGGTAGTCTACGAAGTATTAGTAAAATATACTTGTGATATGCGCGAGGTCAAAAATGACAAGAATGTTGATTTGTCGTGGGGGTAGCCTTGATGCGCGACCGGGAGGAAATTGCGTAGCTTGGCGAGGCAATCGTTATTATTGCTGAATGGTAGATTTTAACTGACAGCCATAAGCGATTTTTAGGCAGTCTACTTGTTTGAACGATGCATCATATCAGTATGAATAGATGGTTGATGGGTTATGTGACGACATTTATTTGGGTACATTGTTTGCATCATAAGTCGTACCAGGTGCAAGAACGCTGGCTGTCTACCGAATCATCTGTCAACCATCATGTTAATTTGCGAACTTCATTCACGGCACAATCGGATTCGTAAACTGTCTCCGCGTCCGACGAGGGAAGGGGCGAATTGGGTAACAGTAGCATGCGGGTCGCTACTGCCGCACAAAAAGCCTTCGAGTGACAGACTTTAAGCGAATTGAGCCACGCATCGAGGATTGTGCCTCTGACTTCCCTGACTCTGCAAATAGGCACACGAAGTAACTACTTGAAACATCGGACCTCTTATACACGCCTGGCGGTGAATGCCTACTTTTATTGTGCTATGCCACGTGCATTTTCACTGCTATAGGTACAGCGTTATAAATATCGTTTAAAAACTGAGAATCCAATTCTGCCAGTCGACGTCTTAGCATCCTACTTCTATCATGGTGCAAATGATATATAATAAATTGATCTACTCGCCGCACTAAGTAGAGACTTGCTTCTATGTTTCATGCTCATCTCGCGAATCCGATTGTGCTACAAATGCCACACACGTACTTCTATTTTTATTGGGAGATTCATATTCGAGGAAGTGGGCCTGGTTACACCTGGCGAACGCACAACGTCATGTCATCTGCAGAGTACAATAGCATCTTTTTGAAGGAACTAAAACGCTAAATTCTATAACAAATTTTTATGATCAAACTCCCTGAACATTGTGCTAAAAATGTCGTATCTGTGGTTATTTCGCTTGCGCTTTATCATATTCCCGTCACTTTACACATAGTCTGTGGAAAAACGCCAGTGCGCTATGCAGCTCGCACTTAGACGTCAGCCAATGAACAAATTTGCATATCCTGGCTTCCTGCTCCATAAGAGACCTTCCATCTTCAGCAAAACACCCGTTATAAAACGATTATAACCGATTAACAAACGCAACTGGACTAAACATATTTGGCTACAGAATAGATTGCCAAGGGATGATTATTTTGCAGTTATTTACTCCTCCGCCCTTATGATACTTTAAAGCTGCATAAAGTCATTATTCTGCAGCAGATTTTAAGGTTTTCACTAATTTTAATTATGACCGGTATACTAATTGGAAGTTCATATTATCTTTCTCTGACTATTTTATAGACGTTAGGAGGTCAATAGGTTTCTGACCTCCGATTCGAAAACCAAAGTCAGCTCGTCAACGCGATTTTCGGAGAAAACTTAAAGCAGTAAGTCTCCTGCCGAGCGATTCATGGTTTCCTTTGATGTCACGTCTCTTTTGACATTAATTCCGCAGGGCCTGGCAATGGATACCGTCGAACTACTCCTAGGAGAAAAATACGCCAAAACGGACAATCGCCTCGGACACGCCCAAATCATCCAGCTCCTGAAGTTCTGTCTCAAGAAGTAATTTACATTCGACGGAACAATCTACGAACAGGTGAAGGGAACGCCAATGGGTTCGTCGATTTCAAGACTCATAGCCGAGGCGGTCCTACAACGGCTGGAGTCGCTGGTTCTCCTACACCATAGACCGAAATTCTGGGCTCGGTATGTGGATGACACCTTCGTCGTCATCGAACCGGATCAGGTGCTGACGTTCAAAAAACAAATCAACGCCGTCTTCCCGGACATTCTATTTACGGTGGAGGAGGACAAAAACAATCAGCTGGTCTTCCTGGATGTCCTCGTCTGTCGGAAAGATTGTGGTGGGCCGAAAGCAAAAGTTTTAAGGAAAGCAACATATGCGACGCAAATACTGAACTTCAATAGCAATCACCCAATCAGTCACAAAATCAGTTGCGTAAGGGCGCTATACCGGGCGCGTTAAGACGCACTGCAGTGAAATGGAAGACAAGGTTGCTGAATTACAATATATTCGACGGTTAATGAGAGCCAATGGTTACCCGCGCAACTTTGTTAACCAGTGCATACGAAAAGGACACCAGAGACCAAATCCAACCGGCCACAGATGTTGACGTACGTGAAGAACGTATCGGAAGCCTTCAGTCGTTTTCTCACTTCACTTGGAGTTGGGGTTGCACACAGGCCGGAAACAACCATTAGCGCCAAGTCATGAGGCCAAAAAGCCGCTACCACGGCATGACACGTCCGGAGTCATTTACCGGATCTGGTGTAGTTGCCGACAAAGCAATTTTGTCGGAGAGACTGGAAGATTACTCCGTACGCGACTTGCCGAGCACGCAGCAGCAGTGAAGCGGAGAGACGCTAACTCTTACCTGGCGGCATACTCGACTGGACCCAGCCATATTTTCATATTTAAAGAGGCCGAAATCTTCGCA